GGGGAGGGGCGGCCGCCGGCGGCGCCAGGGGGAGGGGAGGGCCGGGGAGAGACGGGGAGCGGCGGCGCCGTGGAGGAGCCGGGCGGCGGCGAGAACAGCGGTAGCCGGGAGTCCGTGGTGGAGGGCTCTGAGACGGAGAGCGATGTGGAGGAAGAGGAGTTCCGCTGGAGGAGGTGGTAAGCGGCGTTGCTCGGAGCTGCGCGTACTTGTGCGAGCGCGGCGGCAGGTCTGGCGCGGGGAAAAGCGAGGGGCTTGTGGTGGCGGGGTGAGGGTGCCGCTCCCAGGCGCCCTGAGAAGAGGGAGGCTGCCGGGCTGCCCAGCTCTGGGTTTGATCTCAGGCTACACTAGTCACACACAGGAACTGTCCCTTTCTGCATCTGACATCCTGGAGTGCAAGCCAGCTCTTCTTGGTACTTCACAAATGTGAATTTTTAGGGGGTTTTCAAGTATTTCCGCCCCCTCCCCCTGCCCCGTTCAGACCAGTTTTGTATGCCCTTAGACTCAGTAGTTCTCAGCTCTGCAAATGTCCCCATTCATTTTACATACACCTTGTGGGTTTCAGAGTTTGTGCCTCCGGACCCACCTGTATAATGTTTTAGTCAGCAGAAATGAAACGTACCAGAAGCCAACTCAGAGAAAAATGAAAACACTATTAAATACGATTGCTGCTGATGTTACTTCTCCGCATCTTTAACGTGATACAATTTTCATGACGGTATCTCTTGTGTCTGTAAGATATGACAAAGAATTGAAACTACCAAGCAGCAGCACTTCTTTGTATTGCCGTTGTGGCCCAGTGTTGCTTGGCAATATGTAAACCGGTGATACGTTTCCTTACTTAAGGTTTTCTAAGCAGAATATCAGGTATATCCTCACAGTTTGGGGGTCATTTACTGTTGGTGTTGGGGTTAGCGGTGTGCTCACCCAGTGTACAGTTAGCAGTCTCCTGCTAAATGGGTGCTCTTGTCTGCCCTCAACTGCCCTTTGAGTTTATAGGACTGAAAAGCAGATCATGCAACTGTTTAATAGACTTTTTTATTATTTTGGAAAGGTTGCCTTTTCTTAGTAACGTGGCTTTAACTACTGACATAAGAATTACTGAAGGTAGGACATATTCTTTTTTTATTCTGCATTGTTTGTTTTTTTTCTGCGAACTGTTCCTGTGGATGTTGCCTGAGTCCATGTTAATTAAACTTTAGTGGTTCATGAAGTTCATTCGTATGAACTGTGCTCTCTTATAATGTCCATAGTTTTTATTTCATATTTTAGAAGAATGCTCAGCGCATTTTTAGTATCTGGAAAATAGGTTTGCTCTTAATTTCTTCATTCTTTGTGTGTTCTATAACTGAGAATTCTTGGCTTGTGAAGTGTTTAATCTATATATAAAGATACCCTTTTTATTTAAATATGTGTATTGTGTTTGAGCAGAATAAAATAAATGGAATATAAACACATAATAGTCATATAAATGGCATCTATACACATAATAGTCATATGTAACTATAGTTACATATTGTATTTAAAAAAAAACCCCTTTAATTTGTTAAAATATCCATTCTCTTTAACATACAAAATTTGGGTGGGGATATTTTAACTGCATTATTTTAATTGTATTATTAAATTACTTTAAATGTAAATGCACGCACACTCATTTAAAGCCTTAACATCCTCCCTAGCAACTCCTTTAGAGCAGGTTGCATGAGCAGGCGTGTTGCAGTTACATAATAGTTTTACTGGTACCTCGTTGACATTTTTATATAATCCATTTGACTTGCCTCCTGTGCGTTTTATTCCACCAGTGCAGAGCCTGCCTATTATTTCAGTGACACAGGGTATTCTAAATGTTACTCCAGAATTTTTGTCTTTTTGCCCATTCAAAGACCTGAATAGACATTTTTTATCAGTCTGCCCTGACTTAATACAAATTTTATTCACAGATCAGTGAAATCTGCAAAAACTTTTCCCATGGCTGTGATTTCCTGATGCTGAACACTTTTTCATAGTTGCTCAGTAGTTTTCTCTGAGGAAAGAAGCATCATCCCATTTTGAACTTACCTGTGGTTATCCACTGGTATGAAAACCTGGCAATATTAAACATACATGGTTCATTTCACTGATTGTTCAGTTTGTGGACTGGGGATTTTTCTGAGGTTGAGTGGGGTTTTTTGTTTATTTCTTAAATGTAATAGGTTATGATATTTTTAGCATTCTGCTTGTGGCATTTTATATTTGGTAAATTGGAATTAGTATTTCATTATTTAGGTATTTGTGCATACTTGTATAGAAGTAATTTGGTCATGAGGTACATAACATAAAGATTAATTTAGTGGGTAACATTTTACTTTTGAAACCTAAAGTTTCAACCTTAAGGGTTTCTCTTTTTTTTTTTTTTTTCCAGAGGAAACTTTTCTTTTGCGTGGTCTTGAAAGAAAGTATTGCATATAAGAGTGCAGATATTTTAGTCAATTTCACCAAAATTGCAGTTGTTAGTTTAAAAAATAAAAGAGTTAATCTCCAGTATGAACTCAACAAGGGTTCCAGAACATTAGGTAAAATAAATTTTCCCCCTAGCTGGCTTTACTAATTTCTGACCTCTCATATATTGTAGTTTCAAAATCTAGTTAGATGGACTGCTTAAACTTCTTAAGTCCATTGTGTATCAGAAGCTTTGATACATTTACCTCAGTTATTGAGTTAGAAATTTACAGTTATGGAAAGTTATGTAGAAATTAAGGTAATCAAAACTTCCTTTAATTACTGTATTTTTTACTTCTGTTCATATTTTTTTCCTAGGAGCTTGCTCTCCAGAAATCTCTTTTATACAGAAATTTTATGACCACACATACAGTGAGAAGGAAGAGCGGATAAATCCAGTAGGTATAGAAATGATAGGGTTTCTGCTACACATATCTATTAATTATTAATAAACTCACTGAGCCTCCCATTCTTTATGTGCAAAAAGCCTGGTGGCTTGCATCTGAAATGAATTTTATGGCAAGACGGTTCACGTGTGTAAGCACATTCTCTCCAGGGATGTCTCAAAGTCTCTTCTCTGGTCTTTCGTGAGGGTATAACCTTTCAAATGAGGAACAAGCCTATGACGGAGATGAAGAAGTTGTGGAGCACAGACTATGTGTTCCCTTCAGGAGCTGAAAGATAATAATCTGGGTTAACCATACCAGAATACACCCTCAATTGCTTATTATGAGATTAGCTGTGATCCAAAGGCTGGACAATTGTTTCTTTAAAAAAGAAAGAGATAATAATCTGAATAAAATATCTGCTTGCCTGGTGATGGGGTAATTATTCTACTTTATGGAGTAGCTAGCCCGTAAACTTCTGTTTAGTTGAGCAACTGGGTTTCCACCTGCGTATGACATGCTCATGAAATGATTGGAAACAGTTTTCTACTCTTTAACTGAGATTATTTTAAACCTGTGACTATTACACTGTCTAACGCTGTGGAGTTACTAGTCTAAAGACTACTGTCTATGTATATTATTCCAGTGTAAGAGAGGTTTTTAAGAGAACTAAACTGCTTCCTAGATGACAAAAACTATATTGAAAAAAAGACACTCCTACTGAAGTGAATGTTTTTACAGAGCATTATAGAATTGCACATAAATTTGTTTCAACTGACAGTGTGGGTAATAGCGAATGAAATAGAAAAGATGCTGTTACTTCAAAGCCTTTTTTCCATGTTTATTTTGCTGCTTGCATGTCCCAGGGTTGTGTTGACTGAAGTTTATCATGGTTTTTTAAGGATAGAGGGAACGAGGGAAGTGCCCATTTACTCTCTCCCTTTCTCCTCTGAGAGCTGATCTGCGGCCTAACTAAGTCTTTGGCTTCATGGCTCTCACCAGAGTAGCCAGTCTGCAATCACGTCGGGGTATTCTTCCAAGTATAAGGACAAACCTGTCCCAAAAAGAGGAAGTCATGAAAGCACAGAAGCCTAATACTTTTCACCAGATTGTTTGGGTAACTCTCACTATTCTTTTTTCCTTTTTTTTTTTTTTTTTTGTGTGTGAAACCTGTATAGCATGCCACTGTCAGCTTGGTCATGCACAGCATGGGGACAGGGTAAAATTTAAAATCTTTTTTGAATGCTCTCAGGAACTGTTTTGCCCTGTCATCCTTGATACCTGCATGTATAGATTGCACCTGTGTGTCTCCAGCCAGTCTGAGCACCAACATGAAATGTGCTTACGTAGAAGCATTCCTCTACCGTGTTCTCAGAAATGATCTTATGTGAATACAGCATCTTCATGTGTTGTGATATGAGAGTTGTACAGCCAGGAGTGGCTATGAATTTTTTCAGGTAATGTTCCAGTTGTTCAAAAGAGCCTTGGCTTTCTTTGTACTTCAGGTGGGTGGGGGGAGGCTTGGAATATGCTGTCCTATCTTTGATTCTACCATGCAAGAGATTGTAAGTAAGACTTCTCTTCCACCAGAGATGCAGTAGATACACAGATTTTGTGGGATTCAGTTTTTTTCAAACTGACAAGTCATTTCCATTAACAGCCCATTCCATGTGCTGTTCAGGCAGGCCTCATTTGTGCTTTCACCTTTTTCAGGCTCTTTTCCCTTGCCCAGTTTAGAGAAGTGCACATAAAATTGTTAGCTTTTAAGCATTAAGCTTTGTTTTGAACACATCCGGAGTGCCCTCAGGTAGTTTGCTGTATAAATAAGTGCTCAAAAGAGAAAAAACATTAGAATTTTGCAGGAATTTCCTTACCGAAAGCAAGAGAGCAAGACAAAAGGCTGTTCCCTGTACTTGGAGTCAGTGGCCACACATACTATTTCTGTAACTTCTATGATTTAAGAAGACCTCTCAACCAATCAGCAATATTTTGCTTAGAACGTAATTTTTTATCAGACAAAACAGGTCCTCCTTTTTCTGAGATATAATAGTAGCTCATTGAGCTTTAATCATCTCACCTGAGGAATGTTAGCCAGTCAAAGAGGTTTAGTAGCTATTCTGCTATCCTCCTGACCTCACTTGATTCTGGATAATGTTCTGTGTAAATACCCAGGATGATTTGTACAAAGAATGTATTAGAAGAGTCAGTAACTTTCTGCTAACTATCTCATCACCATATTTTGAAACTATATCAATAATTGTTGCACAAACTGTTTCTAAAGAATCTATTCTGTTCCAGGGAGCCTTTTAGCAGTACTTCCTACTAGGCAATCTCCACCTGTTTCTCTTCAGGTCATTGCTAAAATGGTTGTTCTTACTGTGTTGCTAATACCTTGTACAAGCCAAGTAAGTCATCCCTTGGTGTCCACACCAAGATGTTCTTCCCAGAGTTTTTCTAGTGCTGTGAATGTTCTCCACTGTATGTCAATGATTTGTTGAAAATTTCACCAGTATACTGATAGTCCACTAGTAATCCCCAGTTTTCAGCTCATCTGGAAGAGAACAGTTCTGCAGTTTACTTGCCTATCGTAATTATTCCTAGGTTGCCTTAGGCTTTACACAAAGGTTCTTTTTTCCATACTAGATATCTTTCCCTTACATACAGTCAAAGGCACAAAAAAATGATCTAAGCTCCTTTTACTAAAGAGTTTGAATTTAGCTCCTGCTCTGACATTGGCTTTCTCCTTACCCACTTGTCCTTTCCTCTGTCTGGAAGTGGCAGCCCTGCCACTTTGAGCTTGTTGATGTGCAGGTCTTGCCAGCTGAGTTCCTTAATTCTGCCTTTTCTGGGGATATTGAAGGTTGTGTGTTAAACTCCACAGTCTCTGGAGCAGCACTCTGTCTTATTTAATGAAGGTAGGGAAGTTGAAATACAAATACCTGATGTTTTGGTTTTTTGATGTATAAAACCCCTGCAGTTTAAAGCAATCATATCTTACTTGTGTATTTTCCTTCTAGGTGAGCGTTGTCTTTCATAGTCTTGGTTTATTTTTCAACATTTTTCTCAAATAGCACCAAATAAGAAAAAGATTTAAGTGGAATGTCTTTTGTATCTTAATAGTAATGTATGTAAAGATGAGATCTAAAAATTCTGTTTCCCAACTCAATTACGAATGGAAGAATGTAAGCATGTAATAAAGCTGAGAAAATAAATAATGAAGTACATTCTTCACTAATTTGTCTTTTTTTTTTTTTTCATTCAGACACCTCAAGAGGCATATGTATCTGACCAGTCTCAGTCTCTGATGCAGTGAGTATAGTACATCACACAGTAATTCCAGTCAGGCGTACTGTGATTAAACAATTCTGTTATACCTCCATTTGTATACTATTTTATTCTCAGTGTTCTGTTGTGAAGCAGTTTTATTCTTTGCTTAGTGAAAGATCTGTATGTCAGAGGTAATTCTGTATCTGTTACGGGTCAAACTGTACCTGTATTTGTTTTTATTGATGATCCTACCTTTAATGGTATAAAAGCATAAGCCACAGGACTGACAGTAAACTACTCTGGGAAAACCATTAGACAAATAAACAAAAATTTGTAATAAATAATATTGGATCTTTTATTCTCAGAAGCTATGGAAAGATTTCAGTAGAAGATGGGTTTATAATCAAAATACAGAAAGAAGTAATAAAAAATAGGAAGGGACATTTTTTCCCTCAGAGAATGAGTGTACAAACAGCTAGGTCCAGTAGGAAATCTGGAATTCTTAGTTACTGCATGTCTTTGTAAAGCGAAGTATGCCTCTAAAATAATTGCTAAAAAAATGTTTCCACAAATAATTGTAAGTACAAAACTGCATAAATAAAGTATCACAGATATTTTCTTAAATTGAGCAGATTACAATTCTTTCTGAATAAGAATTTTTTATTGTATTACTTAATTTTAGGGGTTGGATAAAGTGTCTGTCACATACTGAAGATATTTCTAAGCCTGGTTTTTCACTAAATGCTGCAGTAGAGGGACAGCAAAATAATTCTGTAGGTACGTTGTATTTTGTACAAAACTGATCATTGCTCTAGCACTGGCAAAATCATTTGAGAAGCTGGAGATTAGTGTCCATGTAGGTTTATTTAGCATCTGACTGGCCTTTATAACAGTTGTTTAGTATTCATAATTGTTTTGGACTTCAAGCTATGTTTTTGTAAGTGTTCTGCTAAGATTGTTTGAAGAAATAACTGTTTTCCCAAGCCACTGGTGTATTTCCTGCTTAAAATTATTTCATTGCTGTGAAACTTTTTGATGAGTTACAGGCTGCATGTTACTCAAGTGTCCTATGGATATGTGAGGTAAGCATGGATGTAGCAGTCTTTGAGGGTTCCTTCATGCTTCCTGATAACATATCCAAGAATCAAAAGTACCTATAAGAATCAAGAAACAGAAATCCTGCTGGTCATTCTCCAGATATGTCTGTCAGCTGCTGCTACTTCAGTTGTACTTCCATTCCTCTTTGCTCCCAGCAGTGTAGGACTACCCCATCTGTTTTGCTGTCTCCCTGTTTGAGCTAATTTTTGCTAACACAGTAGAAAACCATTCACCTTATTTCTGATTAAGAAATTCCCAGGGAGTCACATGATTGTCAAAACACGGTGGTGGGAGCAGAGGAGTGGGGCCAGCCCTTTCCAGAGGCAGTAAATTATTGTATTGTTTTAGCTGTATTGTCTAATTGTGTTGTAATTGCAGAGGACAGGGTTAGGTCTCACCCTGTGGAGTGGGTGGTGATTCCACTGCTGAGAGTCTTTGGAAACATAGGCCTCTAAATCACAGTGAAGAAATGTGACAAAATAGCTCTGGAATATAATTTGGTGACTAACAGAGCCTAACTGGAAACCTTCTTGTCAGTTCCACTTAGGGAGCATGACTGTGGTAAATCCTAAGGTTTGAAACTTCGGCTTTATTCAGGAAATGAGGCCATTTTATTAGAGATGATGAGAACTTTCAGAAATGGAAAATACAACTGACACGTTTATGTTTCTAAATTTAGATACCGAATTGAATGGATTTCAGAAAGATTTGGAAGAAAAGGTTAGTGTATTTTTACAACTGTGACTGTATATAAAATATAATTTAATTTGAGAATATTTTACTGAAAAATACCTGTTTCTTTCATTTTGAAAAGCAGGCACATAACTGTTGAAACTGACACTGAGCACATCAGGTGAAAACAACTTGAGAGCTAATCTTTACTTCCTGCTTTTTGGGTAGGAACTGCAGTCATTAAGCTTACAGGGCACAAGGGTGGAAGCATAGCAGTAACAGTGAAGTAAGAAAGATGTCACCATGACACAGAATCTGTAAGAGCTGTTACTTAAGCTAAAGTAGTGAAGACTTTTAATAGCTTAAAATATGGTTTCCACCACTGACAGTTACAGGAGAGGCATTAGGAAGGTCTTTGAGGAGGAACAGAGCATCTGTAACTGTCCTTCTGCTTGGGAGTGATGATTTACTTGTGGCCAAAAATAGGTAGTACCAGTGTCTGATACATCTCTTTGGTAATCCTAAAGCCGCTCATGAGTGACTGATTTCACTGCTGATGAGGTAAAAGTGAGGGAATAGCTTTGGAGCTACCTTGTTCCGCATCTGTCAGCTCCTTTCTCAGCCATACTGAATTGGAGATGATTCCACTCCAGTGTGAGCCTATCTGCTTGGGTGTTGCAAGGTACTACCTGTTTTCTTTGACATGTGTTTCTACAACTTCCTTTAGGCCAACACTAGCACTTGTTTGACCCCCATCATGAAGCAGGTTTTGGGGAACAACTGTCAGATGCTATTAAGTTTTTTTTAGTTGGCTTAGTTTTCAGCCAGGTTATCTTTCCAGTCCAGCTCCCCAGAAGATCGGGTGAGTGCCAGTGCAGCGCAAAAGAGGATGTGGAAGTGCGCAGCTAAAGGCAAGAGGAAGGACAGGGACTGTACCGACACTTATTTAGATAAGCTTCATGTAATCAGGAGGTTACGAGTGTAGCTCACAAATACACTATTTTAGTAATTACCTGCTTGCAAGCATTGCTTTTGCACATAAAAGAAAGAAAAACTTTGAGCGAGGAAGGAATTCCCTGATAGCTTCCAGAAAACACAGTAGAAAAAATTCAAAAATATATCCGTGTGAACCATCCAACCCAGAAATATCTTGAGCAAGAGTTGGAGGTTCTGCAACCACCAACACAAACATCTGTTGGTCAGATGTTCCCTTGTTTGGATCCTCTCCACTTGTCGTCTCCCCTTTCCCCTTCCCAACTCCCTCCATTCTTGCTTTTTAGTCAGTGAAGTCCAAGCAGTAGTGAAGGACTTGAACAGACTTCTCTCCAGTTGGCAGAGGAAGTGCTGACAGCATTTCATGAAGGGCTTCATGGCTTTTGCCTCTGTATCATCTCTTTATATGTTATTGTCAGCAGCCATGATGTTACGTGTGCTCTGCTACCTCTGCATTGTTACCTCTTTCTGTTGCCAGAAGCACAACGCACAGTTCATGCTTTTTGATTTCTAGTCTCGGTTCATCCCTGACCCATTCATTGCTTTCAGGTCTATGCATGCTCGACAAAGAAACTGTTGCTTCAAGTTTGCTCTGTTGCTGTTTCTGCAGCAAAAAGTAACTGCAGTTACCAACTCCTATTGTAACGTCGTGAACAGTTTTGAGGATTTCTGCAGCACTAGTGACATCAATTGAATGGTTCCTAGAGAAACAAGAGGATCTTGCTTGCTGCCATCTGCAGCTTCTTGGGAAACCTCACATTAATTTACAGCAGGATACCAGTTAGAGCAGGGACTCTTAACCTTTCATTCACCATGGATTTCCTTTAAATACCTTTTGTGGCTGTGCACCACCAAGACTTAATTCAAGATTGAAAGCACTAGACTGCATCAAATATTTATTTCAATTTTCTCATGAAGGGCCTTTAAATTTGTAGAGAAGGGGAAATAAGTTAATCTGTTAATGCACACACTCATAATATTTTTAATTGCAATAATTCCATATGAATTTAAAATAAAAGCATCGATACTCTTCTTGCTCAAATGGCCCATTTTATGGTATTTTAACATTCTAATTCCAAATTTGATGCCAATTTTTACATTAAAATTTGATGAAAAGTTTTTGCAGGTCTTCTCACCTCCACCCTTGTTTGTCTGTGTTCAGTCACCATATATTTTTGTTTACGGGTCCCAGGCCACCACTTGGAGGAACAGACTTTAGCCCCATTGTGGCCCTAAAGAGGGCCCTTGGATTAAGAAAATGTCTTTAAGAGAAAAACAGCCTAGTTAAAGTGGGACCTACCAACCATATAGCTCTGAATATACTAGTGTGTCAGGGCAGGTATAGGAGGGACTTGAGTAGGAAAGAAGCATTGAGGGGAGGAGCCTGTGGGAAAAGGAGGTGCAGTGCTTGTGGCCAAACCCAGTGGTTCTGGGCTGGACATTCCCCACCCCTGCTTTAAGCCTTTGTGGTTATGACATCGTGGCCACCCAGCGGTCTGCAGACCACTAGGTTGAGAACCACTGACATTCCAGTGTGGAGCAGTTTATATCAGTATGCACTGTAATCATCTGCCAAAATAACCTGCTTAATGCAGAAGCCATAGCGTTATGACTGTTCCGTCTAGTCTCATAGATTGTACCCATGAATAAAGTTAGAATTCCATATAGATGAGTTTTACTTCCGTTTTTTCAGGAAGCCTGATTAAGGTTATTGTTAGAGAAAAAAAAACACTACTTGCCAAAATTCATCAAAGACAAATTTGAGACCAGTATGGCAAATTGTTCATGTAGCAAATATGGTTGATTACATGGTCAAGCATCCCTTAAGATACAGCTACCAACATACAACTATAATGCCAAGTTTATTAAGTGAAACATTCTTATTGTACAGCATTAGTTGAATAAAACAAAATCAAAAGGCCTTGAAACAAAGATTACCTATGATTAATAGCCTCTGCAGAATAGGCAGGTTGAGTGCATTGAGAATATCCCCAGAGAAGATATTTTAGGAGCCTGGGGTAAGAAGGTTGGGATTAGTCGCTCCAGTGAATTATACTTTTTGCATATTGGGTGATGTTGACACTGGCACAATCTGAGTGCTGCAGGAAGACCTTTTATGAGAGGAACAATGGTTATCACAGGCTTCTGTGTACTGATTTGAAGAAAAGGCAGGACAGACACCTTGACAACCAGCAGTGAGTCACTGGGCATGTCAGTTTTGTGTGTTTATCCTTGAAAATACAAGAGGAGTTAATTAATTAGCATAATATCTGCATAAAAGTCCTGACACCATAAAATGAGTGTTGCTGAGTTTTGATTTTGATGGTGTAGCAACTCTGATTTTTGTTTGGTTAGTCTGTTAATTGTGAGGCCAGTACTGTTAATATCTTCATTAATGGCCTGGAAAATGGAACAGAATGCAACTTCAGCAAGTTCAGGAATGGTACTGGGTGGAGGATGTACTAGATAGTTGTGTTGCCATTCAGAGGAACCTGAACAGGTTGGAGAACTGGACAGAGAGGAATCTCAGGTTCAACAGGGGAAAATTCAGAGTGCTCCATCTGGGGAGGAATAACCTCAGGCACCAATACATGCTGGCGCCAACTGACTGGAAAGTAGCTCTGCAGAGAAGAACCTGGTGCACAGTAAGCTGGCCATGAGCCAGCAATATGTCCTTGTGGCGAAGAAGACAAACAGTATCCTGGGCTGCATTAGGAAAAATGTTGCCAGCAAGTAGAGGGAGGTGATCCTCTACTCAGAACTGTTAAGGCCGCATCTAGAGGAAGTCCAGTACAGGGCCACAGACATGATTAAAGGACTGGTGCATCTGGTTCTGTAAGGCCTTTGACACAGTCCTCCACAATGTCCTTCTCTCTAAATTGAAGAGAGATGGATCTGATGGGTGGATGAGGACACCAAGCTGACAGATGAAGACACCAGATGACAGCAAGCTGAGTGGTGCAGTTGACAAGCCTGAAGAATGGGATGCCATCCTGAGGGGCCTGGACAAGCTTGAGAATTGGGCCTCTGTGAACCTTACAAGGTTCAGCAAGGCCAAGTGCAAGGTCCTGCACCTGGGTTGGGGCAACCCCTGGTATCACCTTTGCTTCATTTCCCTGTCTACCTGCTTCCTCTGATGCAAGGTCCTGAATCAGCTGAGGCTAGAGTTGACTGTGGCCATGCTCAGCTATTACCAATGTGTACTTACTGGGTAAGATGGGGATACAGGACATTTTAGGCTGATGCAGGATTTTTTTGCCTGGATTGAGGAGCACCATAATTTGGATTTCTACTGGGAATAATTGAGACATGATATAGTGGGATTTAAATTGGGGCTTTCAAAATAGTGTACTCATGCTCAGCGGAAGAGATTCACAGATGCCATCAGATGACTGGCATTCAAACCCTAAGAAGAATTACCAACTTCATGCTAAACAGACACCTTTTTCTCTTTGGCATTCTTCCATAGGAACCCCTTTTTAAAATGAGTTGTGTGAAGTATAGCTCTTCTGGTGGATGATGGACCTAAACCTGTATTTACCAAAGTGTTGATATTTTACTGCTGACTGAGGGGGAATCCTGCTCCTCCTTTGAGTGAAACCTATGTGTATTCAGACTGTATTTAGATACCAGAGACTGGGGTCCACAGGAGAGAGAACTCCCGGTTTTGGTTCAGTTCCCATCTGACTCAGTCTTGCTACTTCAGAAGCTCTGTTCCTTTTCAACAGACGATTGAAGGTACAGGGACCTTAGGCACTGGGGCTTCATGTGTCTTTATGGGTAAGTGGTACCTGAGAATGGGTTTTAGTGAGGGAAGGTTTTGACTTTTAGTGTATGTTCTGCAGATTTTAATTATTTGTAGAGCAAGTCCCACAGGATTTTGCTTTAAAATGAGTACTAAAGAAGTTTATGTAGCTATAGTTGGATGGGGGTTTTGTGAACACCAGTCACATTTAAGTGTTGGATTTCAATTGGCATTTGGGTTTTTAGGATCTTTTCATTAATCAGTCATTTATGCCTGCCTGATTCTTTTCCATTAATAGAAATAGAAAGAGCAAGTTTCACATGCTCTTCAATAAATGCACCAAGCCTTTCTCTTGGTAAATTTGTAATATACATACACACTGTTTATACCACAGTTATTCAAGTACAGAAAGTTGTGCCAGTGTTATTTTTTTTTCCAGTTGCTTAAAGTCTGCACAAATTAGAAAAGTGGTCTATAAAGAAACTGTAATTTAGTATAGCAAAGTAAGAAGTAGTTGGTACTTAAAAAGGCACAATAAGCTGCAGAGGTACAAGGTAGGAAACAGCAGGCTGGGAAATAATTTTTCAACAAAGAATCAGGGATATACAATAGCTTACAAAATGAATGTGAGTCAGTGCTGACAGATTTCTGCCCTTTTTGTTTTATTTTGTGTGAGCTTTATTGGATAAAAGGATTTTTGCACTACCCTGTATTGCCACTTGCTGGCAGCAAGAGTCTAAAAATGTATTAAAAGAGATTTTATTAAGATCCAGTATTGCTAAGCAACAGCACTGTTATATACAAATGTTACATAGAAAAATTATGGTTTAGGTCTGCTGAGACGTCTGACTTTCTTGTGCAGAAGCATTTGAAACAGGGATAGGAAAAAAAATGAAAAAGCTATTAATTGGTATAAAAATGGGTGCATCTATTGAAAGTGGCTCAAAGTAGTTAGAAAACCAACAGAAATATTCCTTATCCAAGAACAGTTACAGTTTTGTGTTATGGTTTTGTGGTTCTATATTCAATGTGAAAACTCAAATGTGCAGCCTTCAAACACACTCCTAAGGTTTTGAACTGAAGCTTGTAAGGCACAAATGTTCCATGCCTCTGTGGGATCCACATAAACACATAATCAAAACTCAATATATTACGTTTTACTAACTATGCTTTTTATATTATTGTGAATATGTTCACTTTCACTATTTCTGGGTGAGAGAAATTTTTAATGCCTTTCTTCTAAATCCCTTTAACACCCTCAGGTCATTGGCAATGGCATAATGGCTTTGACTTTGTAACAGGTTTAGTCTCTTACTCTGAATTTTCATTGCTAGGGAAGTCAAGAGCTGAATTTCTCTACTTTTGAAACTGAAACCTCAGTCTAACCCTTGTTAAAAAATTGTGTGCGTGCTTAGGGAAGGCTTTGAGTCTTGTAGTTCATACAAAAATCGCAAATAAAAAAATCTATATATGGATGACTTCTGAAGTGAACATTGATTACATTCCTTTAGAAAAAGTTGTTCCATTCCTTTTTGTAAACATTTTTTCTAATGTTTAGATTTCAGGGAAATCGAGTAATCAAGATCTCTCTCCAGAAATAAGCCTCTGTCTAGATGCTCTTCTGGAGAATATAATAATGGTTCCAAAGGAACAGACACCACAAGATAGATCTCTGCATGTTTTAGAAGATGGCCAGAGAACCTTCATGACCATTATTAACACAGATAACAGAGTAAAAGAACATTCCCGTAATAATGATACAGATCTTTCACTGGCATCCCCAGGGAAGATTTTCGTGGAAGCATTCACTAAACATAGTACAGAGACTGGTGAATTTGAAATCAGTGATTTGTTGAGATCTGTCAGTGATTCTGAGAGCCTTAAAATGATAAACCTATTACCTGACAAGTTGGAGTGTCAGGGTCATGCCTTTTCCATTGATATATCAGCAGATGAGAGCAGTGATGTTCTGCCAGTACAGCTTGTGACAGCTCTGAATGCCTTGTCAGGATCTGCAGTACAACCTGTCACTTCTGTAGTGCCAAATAAGAGACAGCTTAACACTGAGGGAGAGCAGTTAAGTTCAGAACCCAGTATTCCCCAGTTAGATGATGACCATACACAAATAACAAACATGACTGAGCCTCAGCTTGCTACAATTCAGGATCTGACTTGCAGAGGACAACAAATGAGCAAGTATACACACATTTTAATTAATATTTTAAAATCTTTATCATAAATTATTTCATAGAATAGCCAAATTACTTGGAGATGTGAATCTTAGCAAATAATAAACTGGCATCAGTAATTTACATGTGAAGAACCCAGTATGTATGGATACAATATGTGAGCCTTCTTTCTGTTTTCTTTTCTTACCCTGAGCTGTTCTCTCCACAGTGTTATGTCCTGTGCTATAAAGGTGATCTGGAATAGGTCATTTGGATTCAACGACACACAGGCAAAAAAATCTGGAGAGGAACACAAAGGGAAAGCAGTACTATAGTCTCCTTCTGTTTAGGTTATAAAGGAAAGAGAAGGACACATAGGAGATGCATGTTCATGCTATAGAGTGTAGTAGATGGCCCTTGTAAACCTGAAATCAGATTTTCATCTTTGTGTTGTCTTTGAATAATCTGGAGCTGCAAGTCAATGATAACTATGTATTACTAGCTATTTAAGGTGGTTTTACAGCCGCTTTGCTTCCTCACAGTGGCATAAAGCATCCAAAGACTATGAATTAATTCTGTCTTTTGCTGGTAGTATTAATGGAATATAACTATATAAAAAAACATGCCACAAAGATTGCTAATTTCAAGGTGCTAAAAGGTCTATAGGCAAATTGTCTCAGAACCATAGCAATTTGCAAAACTATTTCACTGAAGTGTTGATTTCTGAAATTTGTAGCACAGCTGTGTGAAACCTAATGTATAGGTTTACTCAATATTGCAGTTAAGATTGTGAAACGGGGTCCTGTGGGAATGGGGATCTATAACCTCTTGTCAATTAATAATTGATTTTAGCTTTTTTTATGTCTCCATCTGCTGTTCTTGAAGGCAGAAAGTAGGGAGACAATTTTAGGAGGAAAAAATCCCAGTTAATTTTCTGGTAGCTGGTTGTATTCTAACAGTATATTGCTCACCTCGGCCTTTTCTCATCCTTGTTGTGGTGAAACAAGTACCCAGAAGAGGGGGAGAGAGCCTGTACTGTCCTGTAGATGAAAGCAGGATGCTGGATTGCCCATTTACTTTAATATATGTTTCCTTTTTTTTCTCTTTGAAATGTTTTCTTCTTGTTCTCTAACCCTCTTCCCAGGGTAGATGCAATACCATGGAAAGTCCTTGACTGGTAGTTTTCTGAATGGAAATATTTGGTTTTCCACAACTGCCATATTAACATGCATCATCTTTTGACATGGAGGAACCACTTCTGAGAATGCAGTTCACATATTCAGTACCCTCTCTGCTGAATATGGCAATTAAAAAAAAAAAAAAAAAAAAAAAAAAAAAAAAAAAGCATCCAATTCTCCATTTTGGACTAAACAAGTTCTCCCATGTCACTGTGAAAGAATTTGGATGCATGTGTGCTGAGGGTGTGTCCTAAGAGCTTTCAGCATTACTCAAGTGTGCAGTAAACTAATGAGTACTCAGGTTTCAGCAGCTTGAGTGATACTCAGCAACACATCACACTCACTTGACTATACCAGTGAGTAAACTCAAGTCAATCAAATTAACTCCCATGTAATGACATATCTTTAGGGTGGGTTTTCTCTCTGTTAGAGATGAGCCTCTGCTATACACCAATCACTTAGGTTCCCCTTTGCACAATTTAAGACAAGGTGAATCACCACCATCTCTGAAAGTAGCTCTCCTTTTCACCAATGGTAGGGGTAACAAAGTGCATAGTGTCATCTAGATGCCTGGCTTTTAGAAGGCTGAATGTAGTTGAAGTGAATCTCATCTGTTGTGGATGTATCTCAGGGGTGGTATGTCTTTAGAAAGAACATCTCAGTTGGGAGTTACCGAACCTCAGGTGAAATACGGTTCTTGATCTTTTGCACATTTCTAGCCTTGTGCAAGAGTGAGATAAAGTGAACGAGCTTAAGACGTCTTAAACATCACTTTATTTTTTAGAACAGGAATTCATGTCTATAGGAAACTGAAATGTCCAGCCAAACAACTTTCATATAGTAACGACTGCTGCTTACTGTCAGCCACCCAAGATTTATTATTTAAGTTGTGATTCAGAGTATCCTAATTTCCTTGGCTAATTCTGCCAAAGGTACATGGTGTGGCATACTACTTCAGGAGTGCATCTCCTGTGGCAGTCTTTCATACCTGTGGAATTCTTGTTATTCACTTAAGCAACCCCTCCATTGTCTGTGAGCACACGTACAATTTATAAGACAGTGTTCTTGGAGATCTTTATTTGTTGTTTTAACTGCATGCTTACCAGTTGCTTGTAAGATTTCTTTTTTTGTCACAGCCTGTGAGTGATCAGCAGAGAGAGAAAGAAGTAATTCCAGATTACTGGGATGCCATTCCTAGTGAAAAGCAAACTAGTGAAGGAAGTTCACATTCAGTGGAGTCTGCAGCATGTGCATATACAGCCCAAACAACATCAAGGAAAGTGATGCAGTTGAGAGAGACCTCAAGAAAGCACAGAGATCTTGTTTCCAGTCATTGCCAAATACTAGAAGAGACTCAGCAGAGGATGTCTCACAGTGGCAGGACGACAGGGAGCAAAGCTAAGGATTTTGAGTATGACAAAAGCATGCGTAATAATTTTTAAATTATTATTTTAAATTAATGTAACAAATACAATGCATACAGAGTAGTCACTCCTCATGAAGGACTAAATGATCAAAAGGTAAAGGTTTTACCTTTTTTTGGAAGATCTTGGTTTCTCTCCTGATTTATTCTTTCTTCAGTACTACCTGTTAGCCTACATACTTGCATGCTATTACAGATTTCCTTTTAAAATCAATTCTATTCCCATTCTTAGCTCTACTATAGGCATTGATTCATATAGAGAAGTGAATATTTTTGTTGATTTTGTGTAAATCTCTTGTCAGTAAAATTCAGAAATCTACTTCTAAAGACAAGCAGGATCTAGAAATCAACATATGCCAAAAAATAAATCTGAATGAGGTTAGAAAAGCTCAGCAGAGAAGAAGGAGCATGAGGATCAAAACCAGGCAGAGTAAGATGTTCTCTGATGCTTACCATACAGAGTATTTTTTAATTTGAACAACTATACTGAATCAAATATAATTCATAAGCTTACCAATATATTGTGCATGGATTTCTTTTAAAAGATGGTTTAAACATTAATTTTAATAAAATTATTTATGATTTCCCTCATTTGTTTAAACATATGTAACAGTTGACCTTATTTACATAAGCTCCTTAAGAATCATGAGAATTTTTTCAGGATGCAATTTTATCACAGTATTATATATGAAAAAGTTATGGTGTGTTCTGAAAAGCAGAAGAAAAATGTTTTCATGCAGAGTGAAAATATAGATCCTGATCTACATTTATATATACTTTTATAATCTAGTAGTCTGTGTGGTGTATCATTCTGAGGGCAGTGCCATCCCCAAGAATTGACTTACACAGAGTGGTTTATTCTGTTTTGAATGCCTGTTGTTACCCTGTCTGTTTTAAATATAGGTTTGTAGGGTCTTCACTACCGCAGTCATGGAGCACTCTTTGAAGTAATTTTCCTTGCAGTGTGCTTTGTTAGAGAGAGATTGCTGGTTTTCATCCTTGAAACATGCAGGCAGAGAAATTCTTTGCCTTGTAGAGGAAGTGTGTAAAATACAGTCTTTCCTCACTTAAGTGCTCACTCCAGCACCTTTAAGATTGGGGTCTTACAAAGTGTTTCTTTTGTTTAAGCCTACTCAGTCTGGATTTGTCAATGCACGTATAATCATTTAAACAGCTTACAAAGTTTAGAAGTATTTGAACTGTAGCAGCTGCATTATAGATCTTAGAAAACATGAATAATTCTATGTCCAATTAACAAACCTCTTTTGCATGGTTTTAATTATTCCCAGTGAAAGCACCATTTTAATGAGATTTAAAGTTGTATGACTAACTGCTTATCTATTTCACATTGACTTACTAGTTTTCACTTAGAAAGCTGATTGGTTTTAGCATGATTTCTTCCAGGAGTCACACTGACTGTAGAAGCAGCTTTGTGTTAATCCAACCTGGCAAGTTTACTACTCTTTTGCATCAGACTTAGTAATCAGAGTCTGTGAATCATCTTAGTTTGCCAGTTCGCTGGAAAAACAGTCCCAGTTTTGGTTTGGGTCCGCAAACATCAGTTTTGCACAAGGTCAGACACAAGGAAGGCACTAGGGGAGGCAAGGTAGAAGTGATGGGAAATAGATCCTTTTGAAGTAAAGATATAAATTCATTTAAGTGTAACATAAACCTGGACCATTTTCTGTGTATGTCTGTGAAGTTTAATCCCTCCTGAACTGCTTGGGTAGTTTAGACCAGCTTTGACTAGGGACTGCAGTATCTTAAATGATTAAGGTCTTGCAAGGCTGGACAAAAAGAGTAGAGAGACTGTCCATGTGCTCAGCTGGGGGAAGGTCCTGTGTAAACTCATATCTATTAGATTCTTAAAATCTACACAGGAGGAAGAAAACATGGTTGGGAGTTAGTCTGACCTCAGTATATCACCATTCACTAAACAGCAGAGAGAAGCAGAGACATCAGGCTTTGTGTGTTACCACTGTAGGAATTATGTATTCTAAGGTCATACTTAAAATGTCTATTTTGGACACCCAGGTGGAGTTTTAGGGCTAGCAAGCCACACCTGATACAGCCTGTGGAGAGGAGCAGTGTATAAAGCCTGCCGTCCCAGCGTTTTTCACTAGTAGATCAGTTAATGGCCTAGGCCATGCACTGTGCTTCCCTGCAGGTGATCCTCCTGTCCTTTCCTTCCTCCCTTCTTTCTTCCCTCCCTGTTTTTCAGTAGAGGCAGTAGCCACGATGCTCTTCTACGTGGTAGGAAGGGATGATGGGATGACACTGCTGGTGAAGTACAGAACAGCTCATCTCTATACTGGAAATAATTTCACTCAAGATGAAAACTGTCATGAGAGCATAATGGGAGATAATTTTTAGTTTATTATTTTATAAAACAAACACTAAAAATAGTATCTTTTGCGTTTTATTTTTTACATTTAGGCCTCGTATTCCCAAGCAACTGTTCACCTTTTGCTCACTGCAGAAATGGCTGAGCTGGTTGTGAAGTAATGGGGAAAAGTAATTTGAGGGAGCTAATCTCAATCACTATCCTAGTGTAAATACTCCTTGCTTATGAAATGAAGGTTTTAAAACACAAATGCGTACAAAAGAACTGCTGATAAATTTTAATTTTAAAAAGATAGATTATTGAATAACTGACTAGCTATTGAAATGCTCATCTTGTAATAAATTGTAACCTAGAATAGCAGTTTTATCATCCAGTGGAAAAAAATGCACTTTGCAAAACAGCACACTCATATGAAGACATATTCCTATGTGTTGAATTTTGGTTGTAGTTTTGTTATGGAATTCGCTATGGCATGTTTTATTTAATGATATTATTATTTAATTGGTAATGTGTTTTTTGAGATGTTAATTTCTGCTAGATTGAATGAACATTTTCTCTCCAGGAAGCCTATTTATTTACTGTAATGCGAAGTGAAGCCAAAGTAAGATAGGAAAGATATCTTTCTGTTCAACAGATCTTTTACATTATTTTTCAGGACAAGAAGCCTTTGGTAGGAATTCTGTAAAAACTGCTTGCCATGTTTCACTTTCAGCAATCAATAGGAGGAATGTTTATGGTGAGACCTTACTGCATAAAGCTGTTACTCATCAAGATGTACACCTTGTACCTAACATAATAAAAGCTGGTGGAAATGTAAATGTTCAGGATTATGCTGGTAAGTTGCAATTGTATTAAAATACTATTTTCAGAACAAGTATCTACCTATAACTAATAAAAGTGCATATTATGAGTTAGTGCAGTGGACAAAGTTTGTGACTAGTCAATAGATTATTAAATTTTTGTGAGTTTAACTTGGTAATTGTTCATGAGAAAATACACAGACCTATGTATAAAAGTATATTAAAGAAAATTTTGTGGAAAAAGTAAGCACTTGAAAAATTGCAAAGTGATGTAATTAAGCCTTAACCTTAATTCAAGAATGTTGTGCATGCTTATCACAAAGCAGTCCCTTAATTAAATAATCAATGTAATTTCTTATAAAGATTTCTTTTTTCATCCATTTCAGTGACCAATTTGACATGCTAAGATTTAGATTTTCCAATGCAGTTTTTCAGGGACTCTGATTTTACCCCTTGCACCTTAAAGGAAGTTGTAGTTTCATAATTTAGCACTGCTTTTATTTTGTAAAGTTGTGAGTGCTTGATATTTTACATTTTAACTTGGACACCAAAAAAACCCAATGACAGATAGTGGCCAGATGTGAATGTTTTGATTGAAGCAATCCACCTTATCTATGCATGGTACTGTCTTGTCACAGACATTGCCACACCCAAAAGTATCAATCGGTAGTTTAAAATATAAGACTGGTAACTGTTTTGCAGTTCTCTGTCTCATGCGTTAGACTCTTACCATTTTCTCTTTTGTTATGGAAGTTTGTTTCACAGAGAGCTAGCTCATTTGGTAGAAAACTGTGATTGATTCTTAGTCTTTCCCTCCTGTATAGTGGCTAGGATTTCACAACTGTTCTATGGGAACACAAAAAAGGCTATTGCATAATGCAGGCATTTAACAGACCAAAATTAAGGTAGAAATTATCTGTCTTCTGCAATACATTTTGATAGATTGGGTCAGCAGCAAGTTTCAGACTTACAGTGTAGGACTCTAGCATTTGAGCTAACAGAGTGATTCATATTGTGTGTTAACTTGTGGTAGAGGTAGATGAGAAAACATTTTGCTGGTGGTTTTCAAAGCCACCTGCTGACAATAGAGAAAAGCTGATAGTGTGGGTTCAGCTGCAGCCTCTGTGGGCAAGTGTACTACAGTGCGCTGGTTCCAGTTTTTGGCCTCAAAGCTGCTTAATTTTTCTGCTTTTTGCATCTTTTGCCAGGCCACTGTTTCTTAATCCCCTGGCCTCTGGTTGCTATTTTCTGGTGTAAAAGGAGCACAGTTGCACAAAATAGGTTTTAACTGAACTCCTTGAAGAGATGAGAGGCTGACCTGGCCTCATTTCTTCCTTTTTGGGTGAGAGAGGAGTAATCAGAAAGAAGTAGAGTTGCCAGACCTGTGCCGTTTTGAAACCCACTTCCATCTCACTTTCTTTGGGAAAATAGTTCTAATTATTCTGCCTTTTTCTCTTCCTTTAAAGTCCTCCACCAGTGATAATCCATATCTTAGCCTAGTATTTTTCCCTATTTCTGTGCTACAGTACTCTACTTCAGTACCTTCTTGAGGTCTTGGATTCTTTGGGGTTTGTTTTTCTCCTTTTTATTTCCTGGACATCAGCATGTAGGATAGGAACAGCATGGTAGAGATACTATGTGTGGTCTTAGAATGAGTCTTGATTCACAGTGTCTTGAGGCAGCCGCGAAACAGTTGCAATGAGACTCGTGTTTCTCCTTGGTCTGGAGCATGTGTGGTGTCCTTGGAGGATCATGTTGGTAAACTCTAATGATCATCAGCTGAACATGTTGCAGGTTCAATTTTTCAGGGGCTTATTAGTATATCAGATACTTTTTACTGAGTAATAGGTGCTTTCCCCTATGTTAGCCTTTTTTATCCTCCCCTGAATAGATTTCAAGCTTTTGCTCCAGAATATGGAGTTACTAGAGTTTCTTAGTGAAATAGGCTCTATAAAATGCAAGTTAAATGTTTTACAGGTCATATTGTTAAAAAACATTCATCTTGAAGTACTGTCAACATTAGGCAATGTAGTTAAAACTTAGTTGAGTTTCAGGCGTTCAGGAATAAAGCCTAGTAGCACAAAATTTTAGGACAACCTGATGGAACATCCTGTGCCCATAATAAACCCAATTCTTTACAAGTATACAATATTTTGGGTTGGGTGGTGTATAAGAGAGCCTCAAGAATTTATCTTTCCAATGAAAAGATAATTTTGCTTAATGGAAGCAGAACAGTCTCAATAAGAACAGTCTCATATTAGTATGTGAGTTAGGTCCAGACAACCTTCTGACAATGGGAGACAGTTGAAGAGTAAGGCTGTCCATCAAAATGATCTTCTGGAGGGCATGCTGGTTTAAGATCTGGAAGATAGGAAATGGAAGGTCCTCTGTCTTTTTCCTTTTTCTCACTGTACAAAAACCTGTCACATAATGAATGTTTTAAGGAGCTGATGCAAGGCTATGCTAAACCCAGTTCAAAGACTTTCATTCCATCTTTTATTTTTTGCTCAACACCTCCTTCATGGAGTGGCATTTTCTGTGGGTCATGAAGCTTGTAGCTTATTCCATATAACTGGGAATGGGTATGGAATTTTAGTGAGATTTTTTTCATTGCTTGCTTTGGACACTTGAACCATTCTTGAATAGTCTTAAACACTTTTGTTTGACAGTAAAGACTCCAGGTCTTTATTCTATCTCTTCTTTCTTACTTACCCTCTTCAGCACAGCTGTGTAAATAAGAGTGCCATGAAAAATTGTCTTGTTCTTAAAATAGCATATACATTTTATTTGGAGATAAATTACTAAGATGGGAGTGGAATAATTTTTATTCTCATCTTTCAAGACAGAACTATAAAATCTAAGACTAACACTGTTACAGTGGCACCTATTTCTTCAGTAAGTGTAAATTTTTACAAAGGAATGAGATCTCCCAACCTTTGTGACCTTTTCATAAACATGTCTTCATGCAAGTTATTACAAAATGCATCAGTTTTTACCTTTTTCAGTATACTCTCTGAAGTGCTTATCGAATAGACAACCTAAAACTGAGAAAAAAAAAAAAGAATTATTTCACCCAGACGTGAAATAATTTCTTTTTTGTAGGCTGGACTCCACTACATAAAGCAAGTGTGAAAGGTTTTTATGGGATAGCGAATGAGCTTTTGAAAGCAGGAGCTGATGTTAATGCTAGAGGAAATGAACAAATAACACCATTGCAAGATGCAGTTGAAGAAGGCCACTATAAGGTATATTCCAAAATGAACAAAAATTATGGGTTAGGAATAGCAATTATTGTGGTTGGGTCCAGAAGGTCACATAATCTTTTTACATGTGGCTGGTCTTTTCAGATTTTGGGTAAATTCAGGAGCTTGGGAGTTCTTTGTGCCCAATTTCTGTTCAGACCATTCCATGATTTACAAGATTTGTCCAAAAGCAGAAATTTATTATTTTTCTAACTGTTTGGGATAGCGGCTGAAGTACTGAGAAATAGATTGCTACTGTTTAATACTACTTGTTTCACTTATTTTATAATTGTCTTGCAGAATAATTTATGACCTGAGCAGTCTAATGGAGTTTTAATGACTCATGATTTAGTACACATGCATGTATGGTGTGCGATAACAGCTGCCCACAGGCATTTTTTGTGTATTAACACATAGCGTTGAAAGTTATGAAGTCATGACTTTATATTTTGTATGGTCTTAAACAGAAAGTCAACTGAATAGTCATTGTGAATTAATTCTAAGTTTTGTTGTCAAATACTAGGCTTCATAAGCCTGTGTCTGAATTGTGGATCCTCTCAGTCAGGCAGTGGTTGCCTCTGCCTGTCTGTGCATGTTCCTAGGGTGGCCTAGATTTATGTAGGAGTTCTGTATGTACCTTTTACCTCCTTCCCGTTTCTTTCTCTAGAAGTGCACATATGCTGCCTAACATTTACTGATTTCCAAGATTTTAACTTTTTTTTTGTGGGTTGCAATAAGTTTTGTCCCTAAATATTTGCTCTCTTTCTGTTTCACAACTGAGAGAAGACTAATCTGCTTCTCCCCAAGTCTCCCCGGAGGAAAGAGGAAGGATGGGCTTTTAGTTAATAATTTCCTCTGAGACTTGATAGCCCTAAGGTTGGTTTTGGGCTTGTGGATCAGAGACACTTACAGATTCATGGAATCTGAGTTCTGTGAAAGTACCTAAGACACCATGTCCATGGTTATGCGTGAAGGACTCTATCTCCACAAGTAATATTTAGGGCTCAGCAACTTGAATGTTCTTGAAAGAACAATGATCTCAGTTAGGTCACTTGGGGCACACCAACATTGTTCAGTACAGAGCTGTGTTAGAGTCATGTGAGCTGGTATATCCACAGGGTAGCGCTGTATTTAGTCAGGAACAGTATAGTTGTATCATGCAGTGGTCTGTCAAGACTTTAATTTTGTTGCTTCTGATGAGCAACAAAATAGTGATTCAGTAATAAGATTTTTGGTAACGTGGTATTTGGAGCTGTTTATTTCAAAGCTACCTTCTCTCCGTGAAGTTATTATTGCAGATTGGGTCACACCTTTTGACTGCTTTATCCCTGTCTGCACTTGCAATATGGCAAAATTGATTTCTTATTTCAGAAAAATTATAATTATACAAAAGATTTTCTAACAGTACAGTTAAAGGGGACTGCATACAAGTGTGATGTGTAGCTAAAGATCTCAAGGAAGAATTTCTCATTGAAAAATCCATAAATTTGAGACAACATGTTGAGCCCGAGAGGGGTTTTGTTGTGGATTGAAACCTTTTTTATTTGCTCTGTTGTTAGTAGGATGTATGAACCGAGAAAATTTCACTAGCAATTTTCTCACCAGCAATGTGATTAAAAATAATGAGGTACTTCAGACACATGGGTGAAGGATGTGATTCAAGCTCAGTCTGAACTGATGACATGCTGAAGAGAGAAAGGCAGAGGTGCAAGTGAAACCACACTAGTGCTGGAATAAGATTGCAGGGTTACCCACAGAAAGTAAATAATCAGATTGTAAATTTCTCACATCTTGACAAAGTGTTCTGCAGAGGTAGATGGAACATTTTGCTAAAGTGATAATTTCTTGAGTAGCAGTAGAATCGGACTTTATATAATATTTATATAGAATTATTGAATTATAGAATTATTGTATAAAAATCATAATGTTGGTAGGCCCATCTGAGTGGGTTTCATTTGACTAGATGTATATCGTGCATTTGAAATACCTGTCAGAGCTTCCCTCTGCAGTCACAGGAGTCACAATAGACACACCTAGAACACAGTTTATTTTCTCCTAAATAGTTAGGCCGATTTATACCCTAAAATCACCTGTTACTTTCGACCAGTTAAGAGCTATGGGAGGGTATGAATCCTACCCAGTATTTTGGGAGACCTTGACTTAATGACATCAGTTTAATAACTGGAATGAATTTATAAAAATGAAAATAATAAGACTATAGGATAATGATATATCTAGGGGATAGTTTGAGGTACATTAACTAGAATAGAGAGCAATAATTTGTCATAGACCTTAGATTTGGTTTTAGTTGATCATGTTGTGTAGTACAAGAGAGAGAAGCCTGTATGAGGAAGGAGTATGGAAAATACTGTCAAAAAAGAAACAATGTGAAAAACTTAACGTTTTTAGGTGGCAGAGTTATTACTTTGGTATGGAGCTGATCCCTTATTAAAAGATGAGATGGGAAGATGTGCATTCAAAGAAGCTTCTGACTCGTCTATGAGGAAACTGCTTAAAAGCTATTTAGCAAAATCCAGAAGAAATTCACTATCAGGTAGGAGAGAATTATTCTGACATGTCACCACTGAATGCAGAAATTCAGGACATCTGTTGCACTATATTTCCTTAATTATTGCGTAATTCCATGGTCTTTGCTGTCTCATGTCTGAGTACCAGTGAGCACTCCTTATCCAGCACAGTTGCTGTGCATTGGCATATGTATAAAAGATAATGATGTCCAGCTTTTTCTTAGGCTGAAGCTACCTTTAAATGTGAAATGAAAATGTGAAGCACAATAGTTGTTGCTTATCTAAATGTAAGATAGGGCATGGCTGGACTTGCTGTTAGTTGAGGTATGGCTTAGAGTTAGATTAATGTTAGGTCTGGGACTAGGATAGCCATTACAGTAGATAAGCCTTGATTAGAGTTAGAATTAGGACTGTTGGACACCATTGGGCCTGTGTGGGCTGTATGGCATGTTTCTGGAAGGAGTCCATAGCCCTTGGACTGTTATCCGTTATTGCTCTTCCATGTGGGTGGTGATGAAGACACGACATTAGTCCAAGGGCGGTCAGAAGAGACTTCAAGGCCTTGGTACAGCGGATAAAGGAATCTGGCACACAAGTAATTTTTGCCTCTATGCTTCCATTTGTGGACAGCAACATTGGAAGAAACAGACAGACCCAGTCTGTTATTACATGCTTCTGTGACTGGTGTCACCACCACAATTTTGTTTTTTTCGATAATAGGATGGTCTACAGTAAGGCCTACTGGGGTTGGATGGGGTTCAACTTTTTCAAAAAGGGGAGGAGGTTCTTTGCTCACAAACTAGAGGGGCTCATTGACAGAGCTTTAAACTAGACTTGAGGGGGAGGGAGATAATACCAGGCTTGGCTGTTACGAGCTGTGGGATGACACACCAGGGTTAGAGGGGTGGAGTGCTACTGGGAGCCTGTGATGGGTTTATGTGTGTGGTGGGGATTTTTGGTAGTGAGGGAGGGAGCTACAGCAATGTCCCCTGTAAGAAGTTCCCTCAGCTCCAAGTCAGACCTGCCTCTGTGACAAGGCTGAGCCAATTAGCGATGGTGACTGCACCTCTATGATAACATGTTTAAGAAGGGGAACTTGTCAGGAGGAGTAGGAGCTGAGAGGAGTGAGGAGGACACCTATGCAAACACACAAGTCAGTGGAAAAAAGGAGGAGGAAGCAGGGGGAGGTGCACTGGAACAGAGACCCCCATGCAGCCTGTGGTAAGAGGGCAGGCTGTCCCTGTGCACCCATGGAGGTAACTGGTGGAGCAGCCTGTGGAGAACCCCATACTGGCACAGGTGACTGCACCTGAAGAATGCTGGGACTTTATGGAAAGAAGCCCCCACTATTATAGTTTGGTGCTGGGAGAACTGCAACATGTGGGAGGAACCCACACTGGAGCATCTTGGGAAGAGTTGCATCCTGTGGGAAGGACTTAAGTCAGAGAAAGTTTGTGGAGGACTGTTTCCCGTGAGAGGGACGTCACACTGGAGCAGGGGAAGAATGTGAAGATTCCTCCCCCTGAGGAGGAAGGAGCGGCGAGTCTGACCATAACCCCATTCCCTTCCCCCCTGTGCTGCTGTTGGGGAGAAGGTAGAGAAATCTAGAGCAAAACTGAGCCTGGGGAAAAAAGGGGGGGTGGGGGAAGGTGTTTTTAAGATGTGGTAATGTTTCTTACTGTCCTACTCTGTCTATTAAGTGTTGTTGTTGTTATTGTTTGTTAGTGTTTGAATTAAATTGATGGGGTTTTTTCTTCCGCTAAGGAGCCTGTCTTTTGCCCATGACTGTAAGGGGTGAGTCACCCCTCCCTGTCCTTATCTTGATTCCCAAGCCTTTTGCTTTATTTTCTCCTTCCCATTCCTGAGGGAAAAGGGGTGAGTGAGCAGCTGCATGTTGCTCAGTTGCCCTTTGGGCTCAAACCACGACAGGGCTCTCAGCCTATTGCTCTGAGACATGCTGGGTACACTGGAGCGTGCTTGAAGTCTTACGGAGATGAGCCAGGGGCTGCTGAGGTAATAGGAGCCAACAGGGTAACACCAGGCAAATATGCCAAAGGAATTAAGGTGTGTTCGTCCGAAAAGGTGACATGGCCATCAGCCCAGCTGAAGTACCTCTACACCAATGCACGCAGCATGGGCAGCAAGCAGGAGGAGCTGGAAGCCACCATGCTGCTAGAAAGCTACAACCTTGTTGCTGTTACTGAAACTTATTGGGAATCCGGTGACTGGAGTGTGGCTGCTGATGGTACAGGCTGTTCAGAAGGGACAGGTGAGGAAGGATGGGTGAAAAGGTTGCTCTCTCTCAGGAAATGGATAGATTGTGAAGAGCTGTCTCTCAAGAGCAGCCACAAGCAGATTGAAAGCTTATGTTTAAGAATTAGAGACTGAGGCAACAAAGGGAACCTTATGGCTGGTGTCTACTACAGGCCACCTGAACAAGGAGAGCCTATTGGCAAAGCCTACTTATTCCAGCTACAGGATACATTGTGCTCACAGGCTGTCATGCTGCCAGGGGACTTCAACCACCCTGACATCTGCAGGAAAAGTAGCACAGCGAACTGTAGGCAATCCAGGAAACTCCTGGAGTGCATTGAGGATAACTTCTTAAGCCAGGTAATAGACAGCCCTACCGAAGGGATGCAATACTGGACCTGATTGTCCCCAACACAAGTGAGCTAATCAGTGATGTCAAGATTGGAGGCAGTCTGGGCTGCAGTGATCATGGATGGATGGAGTTTGCAGTCCTGAGGGATGTGGGTCGGGTGAAGAGTAGAGTCAGGATCCTGAATTTTAGAAAAGCAAAGTTGCAGCTGTTCAAGGACTTAGTCAATAGGACCCTGTCATGTGAGAGATGAGGAACCAGGTCAGGAGAAACTAAGAAAAACAGCCTGAGGAAACAGAAGTTGAAACTGATCGAAGAAATGCCTCAAACACTCGCAAGACAAAATTATGAGTCACAGGGTGCATTCTGTGGAGGTCAAAGCTGATAACGCTGCTCCAGTAACACAGGATGCATCTGGAGGGGGGAGCCCTGTGGAGACAGGACAGCTCTGCTCTGGGGCACCTGGGCACATTTCAAGGGCCATCTGTCTGGTGAATGAACTTTGCTTCTATTAAAGTTAACACCCCTCAATATGCTAATGAAGACTAACATGATCATGCTAATTGCATCTAATTACATCATCCCATGAAACACCTTACCCCTCCCCATCCATGGGATAGGTAGGTATGTGGGTCAACCTAGGGGATGGACCCAAGGAAAGTGAGTATAAATCGGGGGGGGGGCAAAATCGCTCCCCACTGT